CAATTTTAGCTTTATAATTGTGTCTTTTTTTATTTCGACATATGTGACCCGCCATGACATTTCCAGGCTTATGGAGGTAGAACGTCATTGTGAGAAAAACGCCGTTAACTATATGTGACTAGCCACGATATTTCAAGGCTTATGGGGTACCTTGTCTAAAATTGGATTTTTGTATATTTATCTAGAACATACTGAAACAAAACACTCTGTCATGTTATTATGACCTATCTGTTGTAATAACAATGAAACGAGTCTTTCTAAATTTCGACAAAAATTTCGCCGAGCGGAGCGAGGCGAAAAACAATTTTGGACCCTTTTTTACAGAAAATGAATCTTTTTTCGATCTAAGATGGTTAATTTTGAAGTGAAGTATGCACAGTTTAGTGTTTTACTATACTAGTATATCAAATCAAAGACCTAAAACTGACTAAAAAATTCTAAAAACTTTGCAATGCTCGCCAATTTATTATGCTTCAAAGAAAGAAAGGACTAGAGAACTGGATCTCTCATGACATATATGTTAACATACGAAAACAAAGCAATTCAAACAATCAATTTTTAATTTGGTGATATATGAATATGACGTTCGTATGTAAGACCGTATGTAAGACTGAAGTGTACAACCGAGGTCCTTTAGGAGAGTAACATTTTCATTTGCCTAGCATTGTTAAACGTGTCAATAACTTCTTTAGTGTCAATGTCAAAATCAGAATGAACGTGCAGCAGTGCAAGTGAAGAAAGTCTTTCTTGGCCCATTGTCGATCTCAGATACGTTTTTACGCGTTTCAGAGCGCTGAAAGAGCGTTCATCGGTAGAGGTTGAGGGTGGCATGGTGACAAGTATTTGCAGAATACAGAATATATTTGGGCAAAGTTCTTTCGGCGTCATCTTCAATGTTGCACAGAGATGGTCTGGTTTCTTAGATGGATAAATATCCCATCGCGCAACCCACCTTTTAATTTTGAGAAGAAACTGATCTTCTGATTGAATATCGGACTCGTAGGCGCGAAATATGCGAATTTGATGGTCCCGATTCAAACTTTTCAGATTGTTTGGAAGAAGCATCTGGGCAAGAAAATGTTCTTCCGAATTGACAAGACGATCTCGTAGTTCGTTTTAAATTAGTAGATGGTCTAAAAATTGTATATACCGATGTACGCACAACAAAACTGAACTGATAGAAAACACGGAAACCTTTCTGACAAGTTGAAACACCTATATATACAAAGTGACAGTCAATCGCACTCTTCCTTTTTTTGACTGCTATGATTTTTTAATTATGATTTTTTTGTGGCCATTTCGTTTGTGCACGCAAGTGCGTCGTTGCGTCAATGGTAGCTACGCCACTGTAGCATGCGAAGCGTAACAATTTATAAGTAGTTGTTATCATATATGCATTTGATACGGTTCATGTATTATGGATCTATTTTAGACTCCATTTATCAATATTCGATGGCGACGTTTTGATTTACGAACACATGGACACATTAATTTATAAAGTATCAATTTATTTTATTGGTGCTGAAGAATTTTAAACAGCCTATCTTAACACAAAAAACAAATTAAAGTTTGAGGGTCCGAATTGGGTTTTGTAGAATGGAGAATCATGGGTAAAAAAAAAATAGAACAAACAATAAAAAAAATAATGGAGTCCGACAATATGAATAATAGGAAATAATGGGCAACAAATAAAGAATAGATAAAATTGACAGAAAAATACATAAATGTAGACCCAAATCCAAACCCTCATCCGTGTTGTATTTTTTGCCTCAAAGTAACAATATATATATATGCGATCATCTGGTGTAATACTGTAAATGTTGCCCCATCTTAACAGTGGTCATCGATTAGACTGGCTGAAGCAAATGACAACTTATTTGGTCGTAAACAAGTCTGGTGGGGTGGACAAACTACACCTTTGATATTTTGCATTTACAACGCTTAATCGAATCTTTTAATAAAGGGGTATACGCATTTCTTCTGAATTTTTTCACACCAGAGCCATTTTCAAAGTCTACAATCTTTAATTAAATTCTCAGTATCGCAGCTCAATTTCTGTACTTTGAGGTCCTAAAATTATTAGGTCACATTTTTCAAAAGATGAAAAACTATAAATGCAAATGGACAGCTCAAAAGCGCAATTTCGACAGATTTTGGTAATTCTTTAGCATTAAAAAAAAAGAATAAGAAGGAATTCTTAATTAAAACAAAATTTACTCCGGAGTATAGCTATATATTGTCTTTCATATTCAAATCCATTCAATCATGCAATTTTTCTATCATCAGATCATCAAGAGAAAGAACCATTTTTTACAGTACTAGTCACAGCTTCTTTCTTTTCCTTTTTTTTACGTTTAACATTTTTCAGTAAATGCCTTTTATATTTTAACTTCAGTGAACGTATTCAATGTGATATTTATCTTATTCATACGATATTACAACAACAGTAGTCCTATTTTCCACGTTTAGGAATACAGATAAACTACTGTTATTGTATTGTCGTATGGATAAGAGCAAAACATATTACTGTGACTTGAATGCAAGTGTTGCTCTCCACTTATTGCAGTTAACTAAAAATTCTGACCAAATTGCAATTTGTTTTATCAGACAAAATTGTTCAGATGGTCAGAAATTTTGACGAACTGCTGTAGAAAACCACAGTAAAGTTGTGTTATGTTCTAAATTCACTATGTTCAAACGAGCATAAAGTATTTATGTGCTAAATCTCTCTAGATTTTTGTATAGCAGACATATCTGAGCACATTCAGATATGTACCTTTATACGATAAAGGCATAATAGAAAACTAAATACATAGTTAGGTACTGTTAGGCGCAATGACCATCTCTATTTTAATAACAAGATCCAGAGATCACAATATCTTATCAAAACTAATTTTCAGACAGTTCATATTTTGAATAACGGTAACCATGCACATCTACGAAAAACGTCTCTAATAAACATTACAAAATCTCAATCTGATCAACAATAAAAGACTGCAATCAAGCATCTACAAAATATATACAAAACATGTTAATTCTTTACATACAACTGCAATACATTATAAAACAGAATTTAGACTACAATACTAAGCAAACGTATAACAACGGTCACTGCCCAAACCCCGAAAATTAAATTCTCGTGCAAACTTTCTTTATAAACTGACCGCCAAAACCGGTTTACAACTATTGTGAAAACACAATAGCATTAATTACATACTTCAAAAATCATACGCGAATCGCACATAAATATATAAAGTGTAAGGTGATAAAATAAAGCATACTTACAATCCTATTAGACTTTAATTTCTCGTCAATGATATTATGAAAATCATTGTCAGAATTTGTAAACATGTTTTATATAATTGTTATGTGAAAGCTGACAGGTAGTAGTTTTTGAATTGCTATAAAAACCTCCAAACTAAGCTTTCATAGAATTTTTTCTTTAAAAAGTCTTCTATATTCATAAAAAGCAGAGATCAGTTTCATTTAAAACATGTTATATTTAGTAAAATATATGTGAAATTACAATATGTTGTAACTGTGACTTGACTGTAAGTGTTGCTCTCCACCTATTTCAGTTTTATCCCAATTCTTACCAAATTGCAATTTGTTTTATCAAACCAAACTGTTCAACTGATCAGAAATTTTAACAAACTGCTGTAGATATCTACAGTCAGGTCGTGAAAGTGCAAGGTGATAAAATAAAGCATACTTACAATCATATTAGACTTTAATTCCAACTCATTGATATTTTGAAAATGATGATAAGAATTTTTATACATTCTTTTATTGTAATTGTCATTCGAAATGATAGGTAGTAATTTTTGAATTGCTAAAAAAATGTCCAAATTTAAGTTTTTTTTATTATTTCTTCTAGAAATGGTGTTTTTCTATGCATGCTACAAAGCTTTCTTTGAATTAATCTCTAAAATACCTGGTAAAGTATTCTTTAAGCTTAAATATGTTCTCTTGAAGTTTTAAAAGGAGATAAGATCAATATTTCAAAATATCAATGATTTTAGATTATCTCCCATGGAAACGTACTAACAATTTATTGTAATTTCACATATATTTTACTGAATATAACATGGTTGAATTCATACTGATATCTTATTCTTATGAATTTAGAAGATTTTATAAAAGAAAAATTGTATGAAAGCTTAGTTTAGACTTTTTATTAGCATTTCAAAAAATAGCTATCTATCACCTTTCGAATGACAATTACGATAAAAGAATGTATAGAAATTCTTATCATCGTGTTCAAAATATCAATGAAGTGGAATTAAAGTCTAATAGGTTTGTAAGTATGCTTTATTTTATCACCTTGCGGCACTTTCACAACTTGGCTTTCTACAGCAGTTTGGTAAAATTTCTGACCAGTTGAACAGTTTGGTTTGATAAAAACAAATTGCAATTTGGTCAGAATTTTGAATAAACTGCAAAAAGTGGAGAGCAACACTTAAAGTCAAGTCACAGTTACAACATATTGTAATTTCACATATATTTTACTAAATACAACATGTTTTAAATCAAACTGATGTCGGCTTCAAGTCACAGTAAATAAGATAAATATGTTATAATATAAAGTAAATTTACTAAAAAAAATATTGACCCCCAAATAAATAAAAAAGGAGAAAAAGAAAGAGGAAATGACAAAAGCGGGTTCCATGCCCCAAGCGCCTGTGAAATGAATACGTATATAACGCCTGTAACCCTTGCTAATGATAGTAGATATATCACTTTTCAATATTTCAGTGCTATTTACGACATAACAATAGATAGTAAAACATCTCGAACCATGCTAGAAGCTGGTTACTGTGAATATTGCGAATATGTATACATTGATCTGTATGCATATTTTGAAGAAGACATTTCGAATTATAATAATCATGTGTCATTTTTTAAATGCAAAACAAAAATAAAATAATATTAATACGAACGTTGTATATTTGATCGATTTGATAATTTGATGCACACTAATTACTAAATACTTTTTTTAGGATTGCTTTCACCAGGAGGTAGCTGTAGAGGTCATTAAGACAGGATGAATATCATAGTAACAAAAATAAGAAGCAGCAAAGTTGCTCTTTTTCTGTTTGTATGTGTTATTTCATATAGTATTTTCTTTCCAGTACTACAGTACCAGTTCATTACCAGTAACTATGCACAATTCGTAAAACTAGCTGGTCGTGCTTCGCGAATGACTATCATTTTAAATAAACAATATTTTGGTACAAATTCATCGAATTTTCCAGCCAAAAGTATGGAATTAGTAAAACAATCTACTCGGTCACTTACTATTCTCAAAGGTACTGCAACAAGTAACAGAAGTAGGAAAGAAAATGCAACCGTTAGGCCATTGACGTGTGATGATTGTTTCCATAAAACTTTTCACTTCTTAATCAACAACGAAGATATCTGTAAAGGAAAGAATGAATCCGTTGAAATATTGATATTAATTATGTCAGCACCATCAAAATATAAGGAGCGAAATGTTATTAGAGAAACTTGGTTAACCTATACTAAAAATAATACTGGTAAGATAAGACATGCATTTTTATTAGGTGAATCCCCTTTGAATAGAGAGCTTGAAAAGGAAAATCTCCTAACAAAAGACATTATAATGGGAAACTTTAAAGACGCATATCATAATCTAACATTAAAAACTGTAATGGGATTACAATGGACTGTAAAGTTTTGTAACAATGCAAAGTACATCTTCAAAACGGACGATGATATGTATGTGAATATTCCGAATCTCATCAGTCTGATTAAAGAAAATGGGGATGTTTTGCAAACCGCTGTTGGTGGAAGATGTTTTGCGAGTCGCAGACCAAATAGGGACAAACGATCAAAGAAATGGTATACTTCTTTAGAAATGTACCCGCAAAATAGCTATCCTGGGTTTTGTTCAGGCACCGGATACGTTACAAGTTTTAACGTTGTTTCCAAAGTTGTAAATATATCCAGAAATATTCCATTTTTTCATCTGGAAGACATATATATGTCATTGTGTGTAAATAAATTAGGATTGAAACTACATAATTTTGTGGGATTTATACCTTCATTGGGTAAACTATTGGACAAATACAACAAGGATAAACACCATCCATGTATTTATAAGAACGAATCATTAGTTACAATGCATCAAGTTCCAATAAAATGGATAAAACATATCTGGCAAACGCCGTGTCGATAGTTGTCATGAGAAAATACAATGTAACTTGAGCAAAAATTTGCAAAACTTTAGCGAAAGAAATCTTTTTGTTTCACGGAACCACACTAAGATGTCTTTAAATACTTGCAAGTATATTGGATATATTCCGGAAAAAATCCAACTCCTAGAACACATGTTTTATTTAAAAATGTGTTTTTCTCGTCATGTGTGGATAGATGCAACTCTGGAAAACATATTAGATGATAATTTGAACTGAATTATATTCAAATATGTTATTTTCAAACCTATATATATGCCGATCTGAACTCAATTTTTATGGACAAATGAAAGGCAGCTATCTCTTCGTTATCTTTATATCGACTTTGATTGACAGGATATTTGCAAAAGTGCATCTCGGTTTTGATACATGCATATGATTTAGAAAAATCTGACTATTTGGAAAGTAAGAAACTATCGTGTCATTGAACACAAGGATCATTATATTGGCAGAAAAGGATGAAAAAAATCGGCACTCAATTTCGAAAATGTGAATTTGATCAAGGATTTTTATAGTAAGAAGGATTGGAATCTCGTGGTTTATCGTTTTCTCCTACGTGGCGAGACTTCGCTACTCGCCACTACTACTTGTCACTTACGATATCGGAACAATTTTTCGGTAATTTTTTGTACACATGTATCGAGTTATTTTCTTATTTTTGTTACGTTATAGACATTGTTGTGATGGTAAAGGACTTTAATCATTCTTAAATGTAATTATTAATGATTACTACTCAAGTTTCTTTTGATGACAAAGCGTAATTTAAGTGTTTTCTTTTGATGAAAAAGCGTAATCCGATTTGTAAGAACAATGTGTTTATATGTTAACTTCTGTAAATTTTTAATTTCAGTCAATCCTTGATTTGATCTAAAAATATCTGAGAAGGAATTCCAAATTTCATGTTTATGTTTCAAGTTTTATGAAATAATATCGGTCTTTGAAATTATGAGTAAAAAAGTAATTTTTGTATAAATGAGATTGCGTTGTTACCTTTAACAAATGGTTTTCAGTTTAATGGTAGATATCAGACCCTATTGAAATTTTTGAAGCTTGGTACCGTGTTTCCAATATCATAATATATGGAAAATGCATTGCCTTGTATCGTTTCTTTTGCTGACTAGTATATTTGAACATCAATATGCTCGTTTATATTCATGAACAGGAATTTTTTTGTTGTATGTTTAATTCATAAGTATATGTATCTGGGGAGAGGGTTCTCATTTCTATTTCTTTTTTGTTGTTTGTCCATTCCTTCCTTTTGTATATTTAAGCACCCTATTACTCTCTATTCTTTTTTCATTACCCATTTTTCGCTATTCTTATTTTTTTTTATGGTTCATTATTTTTTACTCTGCAAACCCCCTCCAGACCCTTATGTATTCCAAAGCAATGCGATTTCATTGACATTTCAAATTCCAGTTCTTAATTATTTTGAAGAATGGAGGATGCAGTTGATTTCATCATGACAGACTTTTCTTTGTTATTTGTTGAAATTTTGCATTTTGTTAGTTTAAACTAATCCACAGTCCTTCCTCCGATTTTCCGATATAATAATTCACTGACTAATTGTATCACTGTTAACGTTTGTGTCTAAAGAGGAATACAAAATTTATACAAACATCATATGCAATAAATTTAATTTCTACGATCCAGAAGAAACATATTTTAAAATTTCAAGACAAAGAAAGATAACAAAAACTAGTTATTATAAAAATAAGAAGATGTGGTATGATTGCCAATGAGACAAGTCTCCACCAGAGACCAAATGGCGTAGAAGGTTAGCAACTATATATCACCACACGGATTTCAACAATGACCAAAACCAATACCACAAAAAGGCCTTGAAATGTCAAATGTAAACAATTCAAACGAGAAAACTTACGGCCTGATTTTAATATGTTAGTTAATAGATCATTTCTTTGTACGCTACCTACTGGTATCTTCTTATCTTATAGTTGCTGTTCAGCTTATTATGCTCTCAAATGTTTCATCGGATATGTTTACCGAACTTTTAGTTTGTACATTTCCAAAAAGATGTACAATTCACACAGAAATAGGTATAGGTATCAAATGCTGATATGTTGACACAGGATTTAGATATCCTACTACGTTATACTCAAAATAATCTTCAGTTGTGTCTTTTGTTGTGTTTCCTCCCTCGATTGATGTCCTACAATAATATCATTTGGTTCCCAAATACTTGGCTTTTTTTGTTTTTTTAATGCTTGGAAGCCTTTCTTAGACTTTAATTACTCTGACATCAATGAAGTTCATTCTAAATTTTGTTTAGACTCCTGACCGACTGTTTATTTTTATTTTTTTTACTGATGCTGAATATTAATATGAAAGTCCAGAACAGAGCTATCAAGTTTTTTATGGGTGTTGGCAAGTATACGCCAAATGATGCTATTAACGGGGACCACCTAGTGTAAAACAATGGACATGTGTATTTAGGCACATGGGACAGATGTAGTGTCATGAACAATGACAGAATAAATTATAAAGTTTTCAAATGGTCACATAAAAATGCTGTAAATAATAAGAAAAACTGGTGTAATAGAGTCATGAAAAAACTGAAAGATTGTAATTTTGAATTGTATGCCAGTATTAATAGTGTGCTGCATAAGAATATTTTTCTACAACTTGAAAATGTTTTATTTAATAAATATATTGAAGAATGGCAAACGAAAATTTCGTCACAGAGTAATGGTAACAAGCTTCGTACTTATAAGCTATATAAATCACAATAATGTACAGAGTTATATTTAAAACAAAATATGTTTTTTAAATTATGAAGTGCTTATGGAAAATTTAGATGTGGCGTTGCGCCACTTAAAATAGAAACAGGACGATATGAGAATAAACCAATAAATGAAAGATCTTGTTTTATGTGTAAAAATGAAATTGAAGATGAAAAACATGTATTTACTTCATGTCCTTTATATGCAGACCTTCGAAATGTATTGTATAGCGAAGCAGTAAAACATAATGATCAATTTTATAACTTGTCTATTGACGAAAAATTTGTATTTTTATTCAGAAATGAAGAATCATGTCAGGTAGTTGCTAAAACCTGCTTTAATATTTTATGTAGAAGATTGATTGATTGTTGGTTGCTTAACGTCCAGTGTCAAATATTTCATGCATATTCAGGACGACTTTTTATGTAGAAGAACAAATTTCTTATTTATATATAGATGATGATGTATTTTAAATCTTAGATATATATAGTTTTAAAATTATGTAAAATATTGTATATAATTAATCATTTAATAGTCTCACATAATTCTTAATAGAATGACACTTGTATATGTTTTAGTATTTAAGCTAATGATATTTTACTGTTAGTTTTAATATACAATATGTTTTATATATATGTTTTGGAATGTATTATGTTATACGCTATGTTTTATATGTGTATTGGAATGTTTTATGTTATACACTATGTTTTATATATGTATTGGAATGTTTTATGTTATACGCTATGTTTTATATATGTATTGGAATGTTTTATGTTATACGCTATGTTTTATATGTGTATTTGAATGTGTAATGTTATACAAGTGGTGAGACTTTAATAAAATATTGAATCTGAATCTATAAACATTACAAGATATGATTGGCAATGAGACAATTATCCACCATAAACAAAGGGATAATGAACAGATGTTAATAACAACAAAACACCATATGGCCTCCCAAAATTGAGCAAAACCCATAAGGCATTGGAAGCTATACAACCAAGGGATAACATCATTTGTGAAACAATTCAAAAGAAAAAAATCCTAACGACATGAATAAAATGAAATATTATTATGGGAGACGGCAGAAAAATGACAAACCACTGGAGTACAGGTTTCTTACATAGACGGGTGCATAAAAATAGATTGGATTAAAATGTAGAAACAACGATAATTTTATAAGAAGTGTATTAAAGAATACTTTTTTAGAGAACATTTAGAAATATTGGGGTTGCTTGGCCTAATTTTAAATTCATGGTCTTACTCTAGAGATTCTAGAGAGGTCATAAAAAAGAAAATTAAACACTTCTGAATAAAGATAATCAATTCTACTACTGAACTTTCAAAGTTGTATATGATATATGTAAAATAATGAGATGTGGTATGATTGCCAATGAGACAAATATTCAACTGAGTCCAATAACGTTGATTTAAGCATCTGTAGGTCACCGTGCAGCCTTCAACAATGAGCAAAACAATACCGTATATCAGCTATAAAAGGCCCCGACATGACAAAATGTGTAACAATTCAGTTGAACTGACCAACGGCCTAATTAATGACAAAACATAAATATAAAACACAACAAAAGTAACAAACAGCAACCAAGGACATCCACTGATTTACAGGCTCGTGACTTGGGACAGGCACATTTAGAATGTGGCGGGGTTAATCATGTCACGTTGTTTACGATCAATCCTCCCATAACCTTGGAAGTGTTGTGACAGCATTTGTAATATAAAATCACCTTAGAAATAAAGCTGATCAGATTGACACGAAGCACAAAAAAAAACTTAACTAACATAAAGACAAAATAAACAAAGTAACGATTTAGAGAACTCAGTTTCAAGTTTCTAAAAGCTAGTTGAAAGTCAATAACAACTTATACAAAAATATTGTTATCCCACACTACAAAATCAATCAGTATACATCCAGCGGATTTAGATTAAAGACATCATTAACATTCTGAAAAAGGCAGGACCTTGTGCAATGCCAATATGTAAGAACATGATATCAACAGGATGTAGGACCATACATTTTCATGTCGCCAACCTAAATTACACATTAAATACAACACAAAGCTGGAACATAATTTTCTGTAAAACCAATTGATTAAACATCATAGTTGAACGTTAATGAATTTGGCTATTAGTTTAGGCGCCCTGTGGTCACATAGCTCCTCAATTATTCAAGTACTTACACATTCTTGGCTTTAAAATTTTTGGGTTGAATCTTCCTGATGAAGATAAATCCAGAGAATCACTTAGGACGCACCTAATATATAAAGTGTTATTTTCAAGGATAAAAAAGGTTCTCATGAACGACTTTCATCTGGCTCTATGTATTGCAAATGTAAAAATTCTATTTCGTATATATGTGTTGGGACACATCAAGGTAATACACAGAAAACGAGGGAATCGCATGAACTCTAAAAGCTAGGAGATAGACGATACTATTGGGACAATCACATTTAACTTCGAAGAAAGACAATGACAAAAAAGTAAAATAAAGTAAATTCTACAGAAAGCTACGTAGACACTAACTTCTGTGGTTGGTTTTGTAATAATGGTTCCAAAACTGGAAATTCGTCTCAGAGGAACCAGTACAACAAACATTTCCCACACTTTTAGAAACCCCCAAATCTAAAACTAAGCATTTTGAGTAAAACACAAGCACAATTATTGAAGACCATTTTTTCTCGGAACATGATGAGACACTACATTGATATCATGTTTAAATTGGTTGGTAACATGTCTAACATTGAGATCCGTGAAGTAATTTAAAGTTAACATTGTATTTAAGCTTTGGGGTACTTATGATTGCTTGAAATACATCAGTCCTGGAGGCCAATATTATCTAAGTCTTCAATTTTTAGCCTTTGTCATGGTTTATGGAGAATGATATAAGTTTCTAAATGATGATTTTAGACAATTCTGTATTTTATAATTTATATATAATAAGTAGTGGATTCGTAAACGATATTCAATGAGCGACGTTTCGCAAGTTGATTATCGTTTCCAAATCCACTACTTCTTATATATTCTCTAGCTTAACCCATTTCTAGTGAAACCACTGTCTGTTTTACGTTTTGATAATAAATTAAACGAAATTTCATAAAGATAATTTCACATTTTGTCTTTTTTATTCTATAATAGTTGGAAATGATTACATGTATATCCACAAGGTTCACATCTATATTAAGGCATTCGACAAGTTAACAAAAGTTTAATATAACTTAAAATTACAAACATCTGTTACAGGTTGATTCTGCAATTGTTCAGAGAATACATTTAATCATAGCTGTAAACATTTCCTATAACCAAGATTAATAGATATAAGAAGATGTGGTATTAGTGCCAATGAGACAACTCTCCATCCAAGTCACAATTTGTAAAAGTAAACCATTATAGGTCAAAGTACGGCCTTCAACACGGAGCCTTGGCTCACACCGAACAGCAAGCTATAATTGGGCAATTATTAGCTATTATACAAGCAAAATTAATTATTTGAACATGAAGGATCAATTATGCTTTAGTTTTGGATATGGATATATCGTTTTTGAGAGGAAAAAAGATCGTAAATTAAAAGTTATATTATAAGTTATCTTTTTAATAAGTTAACACAGTGGTCAGTGGATTACTACAGTTAGAACAATTGGTTAACAATAGGATAATGTTCCATCTTCCTAATAAAAAATATATACAATAAAAGTAGTTTCCTGTTCACATTACTCGTGTATCTAGATCAGCATTATTCGTGTTAGCTCAATACCAAGAGTTTGGAAAGCCAAATATAATCAAACATATAACAACATACAAATCAATGATGCCTTCTTGTTGATAGTCCACCAGCATCAGTACCTATCAACTGGTAGTGAAAGAATGAAACACATCTCCCTACTCACGACGCGTATGGTTAGCAAGGAATATTGAAACTTTTAGTACAAGTGAGCGTTTCAAGTGACCTTTTGTCCATTGTCTATTGTCATGATTATTTATAGGAAGCTACAAAAGCTAGTAAAATTCATGTACTAGTATACAAAGTATTAAGACAAATTCTTTACGCCATAAAACGATTTTTTTAATACAGGAAAGATTGACAGTGCTACATGTTTACGTTAAAGCTTTCCTTCTAGCAGTTATGCTGTAAGTCATATTTTTTAAACAGTTTGGCAACCAATTAAAAGATAGATTAACAAAAGGAAAAAGGAAAAAAAAAAAACTCAGAAAAAGTTGTATCAAAAGTTGACCAGTTACACGAGTAATTGTTTTTTAAAGTGCAATGCTAATAGGTCTATAACAGATGTAATTTTGATACTAGATATTGAATAGCTCATTGTGAGCTGACTTGGCTTCATTTAGCTTATTCGCTTAATCACAGGCAGCAGTACTTTGACCGATGTTCAAAGCTCGTGAATCCTTTAGAATATACAGATCAACATAACAAACAAAATCTAAGGGAACTATGAACGGCGGGAGATCGGGTGCGTTGACAGGGTAACCATCTTCTGCTATACATGGATCACCTGCCATGTAAAACACCTCTATACGTGATTGGACGCAATCGGTAAATCTCGGACGACTATTCGGGTATATAGAGGCATGAGAAGGCAAAGGTATATCGCTTGTGAGATTAGACACAGACATATCGTATCGGTCAAACAATTTGCGATGGTGACAACAAAACAAATGTAATATTGATTTCAATCGTTCTTCCTCATAAAAATTTAAAATAAAACGGGGAATGTGTCAAAGAGACAACAACCCGATTAAAGAGCAGAAAACAGGCCAAGGCCACCAATGGGTCTTCAACACAGCGATAAAACCCCGCACCCGGAGGCAGGCTTCAGATGGCCCCTAAACAAAAATGTGTACTAGTTCAGAGAAAATAGACGTCACATTAAACTTCGAAACATATAGATGAACCAAAATTTAAAAAAAACATACAAGACTAACAAAGGCCCGAGTTTCCTGACTTAGGACAGGTGCAAAAAATGCGGTGGGTTAAACATGTTTTGTGAGATCTCAACCCTCCCCTATACCTCTAGCCAATGTAGAATAAACAAACACTCTGATGCATGATTTTTTATTATTAATTGTTTTGGCTTTTAACTAGCTGTCAGTAACTGCGAGTACTCTCAAATCATACTTTCTTGTTTATTTGACCTGTTGATACTAATTGTATTGCTTTTTTGTTATTTAATGTTATTCAGGGTTATATCTGGTCTATATACCAGCTTTGATAAGTGTTTGGTATTACTATAAATTTTCACTTCGTACTATGAACATCAAAATTATTTATTTTGTAAAAATATTTCCTTTCTCTATTGGAACTGTACTTTAATTGTTTAACATTTCATACCGATATAACATGTTACTTTTATCATTCTTCCCTTAGTTTATTTATTTTGTATTTACATTGTATCATAGGTCAAATTTATTTGTTCAGTGTATGTTCAATGGTATTAATATGTCCTATGATTGAGTTAAGCTATTTCAGTTGATATTTTATAGTGTGTCTTTCTATGTTGTGATGTTACACTATTGTTTCAGAAAAAGGGTGAAGGTTTGATACCATTAAAACGTTTAAATCCGCTGCATTTGTTTGCACCTGTTCTAAGTCAGGAATCTGATGTTCAGTAGTTGTCGTTTGTTGATGTGGTTCATAAGTGTTTCTCGTTTCTCGTTTTTTATATAGATTAGACCGTTGGTTTTCCCGTTTGAATGGTTTTACACTAGTAATTTTTGGGGCCCTTTATAGCTTACTGTTCGGTGTGAGCCAAGGCTCCGTGTTGAAGACCGTACTGTGACCTATAATGGTTTACTTTTATAAATTTTGACTTGGATGGAGAGTTGTC